CACACCCTGCACTGGCCAGAAAAACGCATGCACCCTCTCCTCCTCTTCCTTCTTTCAGCCTTCAGAGCCCCCTACTCCAGTTTCTGCTCTTGCCTGTGTGCCTGCATCAGCTCCTAAAGGGTGTACTTTCTTGTCTCCCATCACTCCATTCTCCAAAATGCTGCCCGAGGCAACCTATCCTTTCAAAAATCTAAATATGACCATGCTACACTGCCTAGGCCAGCAGTCCTCTTTTGCCTTTTGGATCCTTGCCCAGCAGGCCAAGCCAGCTGGACTCTGTCCCAGCCCACTCTTCCAGCTGGTTCTCAGACTTCTGTGTCTCCTCCTCTTCATTTCAGCAAGTGAAATGCTTGTAGTTCTTCGGATACTCAAACCTCTCCTTTGCTTCATCCAGGCTCCTGCAGCCTAGGATATCTACAGATGTGTGTAAGGCAACTGTCTCAAGATTTGGGATTGCATCTTTGTTCTTCGCCTAACTTCTGTCCCATCCTTTGGCTCCAGTGTGCCATTACTCGGTACTTGAACCATCTCTTTCTGTCTAGGCATGGTGGCTGCAGGCCATACGGTTTTGAGAGCAGGGTTCTTGGTTAACTTTGTGTCTCTAGTGCTAACATTATACATGTGGAGGCAATGCCGGTTAAGAATGAAGACATCCTCCATAGGGGTCCAGATGTTTCTGTGTACCAGGGATGAGCCTGCTTAGGGCTGTGTTCCAAAACCTATTGGTTCAGACTTGGATCCCTAGAGTTCAGCCAAAGAGCATCTGGCTTCTGGGAAGCAGAGGGTGTGGTAGGTTGACCAGTAGCTCTCACCACCCAGTTTGCCTTCTTATTCCCAGCAAAAGGTAACCCTGCATTTCTGACCTTAATTTTTCCCAACTCCCTAACTTGGGGCCAAGATCATTCAGATATTACCCCAAGGGAACTGACTACTTAAAATATAGACTTCTTTGGCAGTAAAACATAGAAGGCGGCAAACTTGGCATGGCATTAACAGCTAGCTAAGTCAGGGGTAATCTAGGGTGTCCATTCATTATTGCTGCCCACCGTTATGATCCACATCAGGCTCTGAAAGCCTCCTAGCTGCAAACTGTCTCAGAGCTCTGGAGAAGCATTCATTGCAGAGAGTTAAAAGATGCAGTAAGCTAGAGCCCCTGTACTTAGGAGATAATTCATGCCTAAAACACAGGGCTTGCCTCTACTGAGGCTTTTGGCTACCCTTGAGGGAGGAGGTGGTACAGGGCAGTGTCTTATGCTACTTTTTAATCATTCATGCATTACCACAGGGATTTGTGAAAGTGGTAGGAGACTAGATGGTGCATATGCACTGGAGGAAAGAACACATGCATTATGTAGCAGAGAGCTACTTCTTTTTCCCTCCAATTTCCTTTCCACTTCTTAGTCTGGGAAATCCCCTTGGCACTGAGCCCACGACATTCTTTCCACTTAAGTTTTTTATCTTTGCAACAGTATGGCCCCAGTAAAGCCTCTTACAATACTATGGAATCTAAGAGGTTTCCTTAGAATACAGGAAAAACATCATAGGCTATGCTTGTTTTGTGCTAAGGAGTTTGAAATAAAGGGTGTGCATATGTATGCTTGTTCATATATGTGTGCATATGTCTGTGCATACATGTGGAAACCAGAGATCAATCTTGGCTGTCATTCCTTAGAATCGAGCCCTCCACATTATTTATTTATTTAGGGCCAGGGGTCTCTTTACTGAGTCCTAGAGCTCCCTGATTAGGGTAGGATGGCTGTGAGCCACAGGAATTCTCCTATGTCCATCTCCTTGGATCTAGGATCACAAGTCACACTACCATGCATATCTTTTTACACAGCACTGGAATCTGTACAGGCTGAACTCTGGTCCACATGTTTATGTGGCAGAGTGTATAGACTAAGCTCAAGAGGTCTGTTTTGTTAATTAAAAGATTGTTTGCAAGCCAAAGTGAATTGAAAGTAGAATATAATACATATATTTAATCTCTTATTAATAACTTTATACTAGTTTGATAAGTAAAAATCAAATCATTTTTTATAAGCACAATGCTGACATTGTGTCTCAGCTGTTTTCAGAAAAGAAAGTGATTCTAAAATCCATGTTAAATATAACACAGGGTTCTGCTTACCAGCTCATTAACATGAAGCATTTCTTGAAGCCTATTTAGGACACCAAAGACTGTTCAAAGTTTTAACTACCCTATGAAATAAAGAAAAGTTCATAAAAACATTTAAATATCGAATATTTTAAATAAACCTCTGGTCTTTCTGTATATGGTTATCCAGTGAAGACATTATGGCGATGTGTATACAGTAATGACTACTAATCAATTATTAATGATTCTTTAAGTGTTAACAATGTAGTTCAGGTGTACACAAGAGTGAAATCAAGTCCACCAAGTTTTAGCATATTCTAAACTGTACAGTGTCACAATCTGCTACAGACAATATGCATAGTATTATTCCATGATAGGTAGAACAACGAATTTCAAAATACTTTCAAGCAGACATTGGATCTTTTGAGAGTCCCAGCTACTCCGAGACTGGTACTATGATCATGGACACTACACATTTTACAGGAAACAGGTTTAGCTGGGGCAGGAGCCTTGGCTTGCTCCCAGTTCCAAAGCCAGCATTAAGTAGAAGCAAGGCCTATCCCTGATTTGAATGTACTTACTCTGTGGCGTGTGCTCATAACCCTGTCCTGATTGGCTCCTGCCCGTTGCTTCTCACTGAAGAACCAATGGAGGCACGCAGAAGGAAGAACTCGGTTACTAAAGAAATGTGAAGCTGCAGATCTTTTATTGCTTGGCAATAAAACACAGTCATGAGGGTTTCTATTTGGAGAGAGACGAGAAGGCCAAAGAAAGAAGAGGACCACAGAAAGAACAGAGAAGAGCCCCTCCATACTGGTGCCGTCAAAGAGTAATAGTGTAAGCTCAGGAGTGACTTTGGAGAATCATTTTAGGACCCATGACGTGGCTTAAGCAAGTAAAGGCACTAAACCAGAACCCACATGGTGGAAAGAAAGAACTAACTCCTGCAAGTGTGCCTCTGTCACGCAAGTATGTCATACAAATGCCATAGCACCAGTGCACCACATACAATGTAAAAACATTTTTCTTTAAAAAGAATCATTTTAGCATGGTTGGAAAATATGAATACACTCATTCACTGAAAAGCACTATACTGGCGAGTGTCTAATAAAAAGTTTAATACCATGAGCAGAGTATGAAGGGGTTATTACACAGCATTGTCTTTAGGCCTGGGAATGGGGTGGCTGGTAACGTGCAGGGAAAGACATTTAACTAAATGATGACTTAACACAGGATATTTTATATAAAAGCTCAGAATAGCTACACACACACACACACACACACACACACACACACACACACACACACACACTTCTTGTTGTTCCTCCCTTCCTCCTCCCTCTTTTCTTCTTTTTATTGAGAATGGTTTTTTGCTGTTTCTCAGGCTGACCTTGAATTCTAAGGCTCCAGTGTATCAATCTGTCCAGAAGCTGGGAGCTACAAGCAAGTCTGCTCATAGGGTTTCATTTCTCTTTTTTAAAAACCCAATTTGAGGTTGAAGCGATGGCTCAGGGGTTAAGAACCTGGCTGCTTTTGCAGAGGAACTGGGTTTGATTCCCAGCACCCTACGAGGCGGCTAACTAACCACAATTCCAGTTCTAAATGCCCTCTTCCCATCTCCACGATGGGCACCCGGCACACCTCTGGCAAACATACATACAACCAAAACATTTACACACACACACACACACACACACACACACACACACACTCAGTTTCCATACCTTTTAAAAGAATGACTAAAATCACTACGTGAGTAACCCACTGCAAACACAAAAGGGGAAAAGACGTGACAACGCATTCATTTCTGCAGTTTGTACAAACCCACTTGCTGTTTTTCCACACAGACAATGCTTCAGGCATCCTCCAAATGGGAGGGTCAGAACCGGCCGGCCCAAGCAGCACACACAGGAAGGCACTGAGGATTCTGTTAAATTCCATTTAGAGAAACCACAAGATTTTAAAGCTGCCATTGCCCTGGAGATTTAATTCAAACATTAAGGGCAAGGAAGCTAAAATCCAAAAAGGTAAAATGATTTACAGTTTGCATAAATTGGCTCAGCGTCGGGGCTGAAGGCCGGGTTTCAGGGAGCAGATAGTCTCTGCACCTCAGCTTTTGCTCTATTCTTGAAGGTCAAGCTGGATTATCATTCCTTCTTCCAATTTTGTGCTCCCCACCCTAGGATAACTTAGATCAAGTTGGCTTCAGCCTCCCTGTTTTGTTCTGTCCTTTGCCCTGTACCTTTTTTTTTGTTGTTGTTTGTTTGTTTTAAATCGTCCTCATTGCTGAGACTGAACTGTTTGTTTAATCAGTGTACACAAAATCACGCTCCAGACACAGGGCACCGCCACGAATGCCCCAGCCAGGAAAAGGTGCACTTGTTCTTATCCAGCGTCCACAGGCCACGTGCGGGAGGAGGGGCCGCCTTCTGATTGGTGCCCCGTGCATGGCCTGGAGGGCGGGGCCACCGGTCTGTCCATCACCACGAGCTGGGCGGGGCAAACCCGGCTTGGGGCCGAGCAGGCCGGCGGGACCCAATCTGTACGCTGCGCCTCAGCTGGGCCGCGGCTTCCCCTGTGCGGGCCGCAAGGCGACGGTTGCTGTGGGGCGCGCGCCGCCCGTTCCTCTTTCCCGTTGCGAGCGGCAGGCGCGCAGGGAGGCGGCCCCCAGTCCAGCCGGGCACCTCCCACTCTCCGAGCCGCCGGGGAGCCGGAGGATGGCGGCGGTGGCGGCGGCCGCCCGGGAGGAGGCGGTGCGGAGGCCGCGGAGCGCGGCAGCGAGCGGTAGCGGCCCGTCGCGGCGGCCCGGCAGCGACCGCGTCCGCACGGCCACCTGAGCACCAGCCGCGAGCTGCGTCCCGCCCGCCTCGCCCGCTCGCTCGCGGCCCGGGGCGGCGCGGACATGGGCGCCAAGCAGAGCGGCCCCGCCGCCAACGGCCGCACCCGCGCCTACTCGGGCTCGGACCTGCCCTCCGGCAGCGGCGGCGGCGGCGGGGCGGACGGCGCTCGGGCGGCCCGGTTCGCGGCCCCGGTGCCCGGCGCGCAGCAGCCCAGCGCCTCGGCCGGCGCGGCGGCAGCGGCGGCAGCAGCCTCGGCCCCGACAGCGCCCCGCAGCCGCTCGCTCGGAGGGGCGGTGGGTAGCGCGGCGGGCGGCCGCGCGGCGCAGTCGGCCTTCAGCATCCCCGGCGGCGGCGGTGGCGGCGGCGGCGGTGGCCCGTACGGCTCGCAGGACTCGGTGCACAGTAGCCCGGAGGACGGCGGCGGCGGCGGCGCTAGGGACCGGGACCGGCCAGCGGGCGGGGGCCCTGGAGGGCCGCGCCTGGTGATCGGCTCGCTACCGGCCCACCTTTCCCCGCACTTGTTTGGAGGTACGGTCCCCTGCCCCGGCCGCAGCTCCCCAGCTGGGGGGGGGGGCGCTCCCCAGCCCTCCCTCCGCCCCCGCCACGAGGTGAATGGAAAGAGAATTGTTCTAAAACAAACTGACGAAACAGCCTCGTGGTTTGTAGTTTTTAGCACCAGGAAGTTAAGGGGTGAACGGTGGTGGGGTGTAGTTCTCTGCTCGGGAGCTGAAGGGCGAGCAATTTTAAAGGCCCAAAGCCAGAAGGGACTCACGTGGGTGTTTGTTTGGAAAAAATAAAAGGAAGTTAATCTCTCCTTTGGATCGACTCCTAACAAAGGTGCAATCCTTGAGCGTCTGTAAATAGCTCTGCGTACATGTTATTTGGGAGTAGGTGTTAACGCAAGGTGTTGCATTACCCCCCATTCCCCGCCCCCAGGAAACTGCTACTTTACATGTGGCTGATGGCAATACTGCTTAGTTTGAAGCTGAGTGTGGAAATGTTCAAAAACAGTTATTTAAGTTACAGTTATTACAACTCTGCCTACAGAGGCAGTAAAATTGGTCAGGGTCTTTTGAAGAGTGGACTAGAGTTAAGGAAAAATTTAGAGGTCACAGATGTGCTTTCCTGCTGTTTGAAACAGGAGAAAAGTTGCACTTAATTGTGAAAACGTGAACCTAGACCGCACATCCCCGCCTCCTTGCGTTATGTGTCCGGCAGTATACATTCATACTTGAGCACAGAATGATGCAGACTTCATCCCTTCTGTTGTTTTAAGTACCTTTTGATTCATCTGTTTGTACATGTAAGACAATCGGTTAAGTGGAGTGGTCACTGATCTGTGTTCTAGAGCAGTCAGACTTTAGTGTTAGTTCATAAGAATGTCATGCTTAGTTTCCACCATCTTAATGATATTTTGCTCGTTTGGTATGAAAGCACTTAGCTTTTAGCTGCTACTACTACCACTATTATTATTGTTATTATTATTTTGTTTTATCGAGACAGGGTTTCTCTGTGTAGTAGCCCTGGTTGCCCTGGAACTCACTCTGTAGACCAGGCTGGCCTTGAACTCACAGAGCTCCACTTGCCTCTGCCTCCCAAGTGCTGGGATTTAAGGCCCTTTATTATTTTTTAAAGTGCTTGTTTGTTTGTTTGTGAGGTTCTGGGACTCTAAGTTAATTGAGCTTGTTAGGCAAGCTCTTTACCACTGAACTGAATACGTTGCCTGTCACTTAACTAACTTGTTTATGGTAAGTCTTGCAGTGCCAATAATTAATTATAACAATGTTTCCTAAAATTGAGGCATCTTAAAATAAATCTTGGTTTTGGAGAAAAGAACTAATCATGTCCTTACTTAATTTGAGGCACTGTACTTTGCTGAGAATTGGAGAGTAACGCTACATTTTAAGAATACACATCTTTTTAAAATGAAGTTTTCATTAAGCAGTTATAATCATCAAGAGTAGGGACAAGAAAAGGGAATAGAAATTCTCCTTAAGTTAATATTTAATGTCCTGACTATCACTTTGATTCAGTTTCTCCCAGGGCTGATGATTGCTGTTGACAAGAGTCAGTGTACCTCTGTATTTTGTTAAAGTAACTAACTGTCCAGAGCTGGGCAGATAGCTGGCCTTCCTGCTATGAATTCCTAATAAAGTGGAAAGACCTATTTGCCAAGAGTTGAAATCTAAGCTTTTTTTTTTTTTTTAACTTAATTCTTAGGTTTGTTCAGCTAGTATGTAGTCCTTTAGTAGTCCTATTTAGTTAGGAAGATGGTGGTTTGGTAGCAGGACCGTTCGAGGAGCCTGGGGTAGGTTTTCACATCCCGATCTCTTTTGAGGTTGAGTGCTAGGAAGTCGTAAGTCACCAATTGTGTGGAATGATTTTAACTTTTTCCTTCAGTTCATTATAAGCCATTATAGATATGTATCATTCTTGAGACATTTGAGAAAAATAGTCACTCAGTTTTCTGTGTTTCCTGGTGCATGTGAGAAACTTAGTTGGCAAAGGCCTAAGGGGATCAGAAATGACCTGTTCTCATGTGAAAGGAAGGAAAAGTGCAGGGACTTTGAAATCCTTGTTGAGAGAAACAATGGAGTTTGTCCTTAGTGGCTTTGCCTAGTGAGACTTGTCCCAGTATGTCAGTGAGCAGGGTCATGAGAAGTCATTCTGAGGTGGAGGGAGCTAGACGTGGTTCTTTATATTGATTTTATTTTTATTATGTTTCCTACCAGTGTGTTTATTCAGTTACAGTTGTTAAAGGTTGGACACATGCAATGATTCAGTTTTGAATCATTAGGGGTACATAATGGACTCCATCTGCAAATTAAGAAAAAAGCATTTCTAAATTAATGGAAAGTACTTATTGTAGCTATATAAAGCATTGATGTTTGTATGTTTCCTAACAAGAAAATAGGGATGTAAAAATACTCAGATAACATTCCTTTGTAGACTTTCAATGTTATGTATTGAAAGAAAATCTGAACTATTGTTCTTTAAATTGCTTTAGGAGTGTGGCAAGTAGATTTGTAGTTGCTCTATCGCAATGAGTTGCCAAATTGAATGAGCTTTTCTGTGGTGGCTTTTGAGTTTTGCTTTCTTTGGGATGTATATTTTGGCTGCACACTTTTCTTTTTCTTTTTATTTATTTTTCTTTTTCTTTCTTTCTTTTTTTTTTTTTTTTTTTAAGTTTTTCAAGACAGTTTCTCTGTAGACCAGGCTGGCCTGTGTACATTCTCATTTCTCTCTAGAGAATTAAATAACTAGACGGGAAATGAATAACTCAGATATTTCAGCTTGTAGGCATTGAGTTGTCAGTGAGATCACGATATGGTTAGAATCTGGATGGAGTTCTTAGAGGAAGTAGGGCTTGTTTGTTTGTATATATGGTGAACAAGTTCTCTCTTGATTACTGATAATATTCTGGTCCCATTTGTTTTAAAACTGGTCTCCAAGGGCATCATCTAACATTTGAAAGCCCTGGTATCTTAGAGAGGATTTGTTTGACTTTCCTTTATGCCTGCATTTCCTCACGAAGTCACTGATGGTCATACAAGCTGTCAGTAGAAGTGGTAAAATAGCCTTCCCTGATGCAGCTGTCAAAAGAGGTGAATTAGACTCTTAAAATAACCCCCAATGAATGAGGATTATGAACTTCAGTAATGTATCTGTGTGTCTGGTAGTGAGATTGTGAAGTGAATTAACTTAAGACATCGAACCAACAGTTCTCTGCTGCTTAATTGTCTTGAGCTTGTTTGGGTGTGGCTTGCCTGTGAGTAAGTACTTCAGTAGCCTGTAATTCAGGTGTCTCCTGTTACATTGAAAAAGCGTGGGCCATCATTTCAAATTGAGTATGTTAAATAAGGTTTGTATTCCTAGGAAGGTTTATTTAAATTTTCAGCCCAAATGTGAGGTTTTATGGAGTTGTTTTCAGTTATCACAATAGGTGCCAAGAATGCTTGAATTTGGGAAATTACAGTTAATCTGCTCTACATTCTTGCACTTTCTTTTCTACAGTTGAGGATTTCTTTCTTTTCTACAGTTGATGATGTTCTTGGGGAGGGGCAGAAGAGATGCTTGCTGCTGTGTAGGGGAAGCCATACTTGTGGCTACCACTCCTGCCATCACTTCCAAGGGACTTGGATGGTTAATGTTTCTCACTTGTGTGCTCATCTATCTTTAAAGACCACAGGTGATGCCTTGTGTTGCCTTCGAAGTGTGGCCTCTGTTCTGGACCATCCTGCTTTGGGAACGGTTAATCTTGAGGTTGGAGGAGGAGTGGGATGAGTTGCTCAGGTCGGCTCTTTGAGAACTGCATAACTGGGCTGGTGAGCTCTCTGTTGTGTGCTAGCACCAGTAAGCCTGCCCTACTCCCTTCTGCTTGGTTGCTTTGCCTGTTGACCAGTAAGTAGTTCTTATTGCTGGCTGTCCACCTGTCTCCTACTCATCTTGTGCGTAATTATATGGAGAATTGCCTTAATGTTCTACTTATCAGATTCACACTATACATGCAATTCAGGATATTGGTAAATAGGCTAAGAGAAAAGTGCAGGAACTGTTTTAGTAACAAAGTAACTAAGATTTACTTTCCCATGAAAATATTCCTAAGCATTTTTAAATGGCAGTTTACATTTTTGTAGGTTCTGAACTGTTTGACATCGATGTGTTTAGACATTGGGGAAACGGTTGTACGTTGTGTGAATAAGCAGTTCAGAAAAAAAAAAACTTGTGTGTTGTAGTATTTGTTTTCTGTGCTGCTCTTTAATAGCATGTTACAAATAGCTGTGTGCTGTAGTACACATTTGTCAGTGTTGTGGGTCAAGAGTCTGGGCACAGCTCAGTGGGCTGGGGTGTTGGTAGAGGCATTGCCACTAATGCTTGTTCTCACCTGAGGAGGAGGATCTGCACAAACTCTCTCAGATGGGTTGTCATAATTCATTTCCTTATTCCACTCCTCCCTCCTAATTCTTAGTATGGAGTCAATATACTGAATAAATGGGTTTTGTTGTGGCATTTTCTTTCTTTGTTTTTCCTTTTTTTGGTTGTTTGTTTTTTTTTTTTTTTTTTTTTTTGTTTTTGTTTTTTTGTTTTTGTTTTTTTTTGCAACAGAGTTTCTCTGTGTGGCCCTGGCTGTCCTGGAACTTGCTCTGTATACCAGGCTGGCCTTGAACTCAGAGAGAGCTGCTTGCCTCTGCCTCCCAAGTGCTGGGATTAAAGGCCTGCACCACCACCGACCAGCTTGTGAGGTTTTCATACATTTATACTGTGTGCTTTGGTCATATTCACTCCACCATTAACCCCTTTTGTTTCCTTATCCTTCTTCTTCCCAAGTAGTTTCTCTTTTAGTTTCATTCTCTTTTTAAACCTAGATTTCAAAAACATGAAGTATTTGTGTTTGAGTCTGATTTTCCACTTAACAACACTTTCCATTTCTGTCCATCTTTCTGCAAAGGACATGTCATTTTAAAAGATTTTATTTTCTGTATGTGTTTTTACTGCATGTATGTATATGTACCACACTTGTGCTTGCT